TGGGTTCACGTGAGACCAAAGGTTTTTCGTAAGACCCGTGAGACCAATTTATATTCATTGATCAACTTTATAAGCTAACGATCTAATGGTTTAAAATTGCACGGTGGCAATTTTGTAATTATTGAGAAATCTCGTGGCAATTTTGTGATTATGAATATTGAGATTGTATATCTAATCCAAGGATTGAGAATTGGTCTTACGGGTCTCATGAAAAAGCTTTGGTCTCATATGATCCCAAGTCTATATATATATATATATATATATATATATATGTGTGTGTGTGTGTGTGTGTGAGAGAGAGAGAGAGAGAGAGAGAGATTTTTTTTTTCAATCGGCTCTAAACAATATTTTTTTTTTTTACAATAATGTCAATCCTCGGGATGAAGTAGAACCATTTCTATGAAAATGATGGATCAAGAGAAGATCAGGTCTGTTTTCTCCTGAAGTTACGGGACTATTTTACCAAGTTCCATCACACAATAAATCAACAAAGCCTAACCGAATCCAGTTTAATTGTTTACTTATTTAATTTCAATGAATTAATTAATATTATGCCTTAAAGAGGACTCGAACCTCCACGCTCAAAATAAAAAGATTTTGAGTCTTTCCATACATATATATATATATATATATATATATATATATATGAGCAATCAAATGAAAACCGCTCTTATTTGTGTAAACCATGTAAATTAATCTCATCCATTTATTTTCTTGATCAATGGTCAAGATTTGTTTAGGTTATATTAGAAAATTAAAATAAATAAATAAATAAATAAAAATTTATTTTATAATCCATATAAGGGCAAAATGGTAAATTTGGTAGTGGTTTTATCAAATAGATTCAAAATATAAATAAAACACACCATAATCAATTCTACATAATGAATCCTTTTGAATAGAAATTAAAAAAAATTGTATTATATTACATGAACGAAATGGTTTCACAGTTTCATCAATACACTAATCAACGTAACCCTAATTAAATTTTGTCATTTTCATGTTTATTGGTAGATGGATCCGTTTCATTTTGATAATGAAATTGTTTCATTAATACTGATTTTAATATGAAATTGTTTCATAGGTTAATATGAAACTGTTTCACATGAAACTGTTAAATATGAAATTGTTTCCCTAGTTAATATAAAACTGGTTCAATTGTACTCTTGATTGAAACTTGTTCACTTGAACATGAAACTCGTTTATTTGTCATTTCTTTAGCTTAAATCTCATCAGAATTTACAGTCATGCATCTTAAACATCATGACCCTGTGTTATGAAACAGTTTCATAATTTCACCATGTATGAAACTGTTTTCATGAACATTTTTTTATTTTAATACTGATTTCATGAATTCATTGCTGCAATACCTTACGATTTTCCTGATTCTTTACAAGATTTAATCGGCACACTATATAACAAAATCAAATTTTTTATATTATAATTTAATTAAATATTTAAATATTATCATTTATAAAATTTTGTTTATTATGTTGTCTTAATTAAGAATTGTTAATAACTTTCATATTTAACAGAAATTGCAAATAACAAAAATATCTTTAATGATTAAATTTAATTAGAAAAAAATGAAATTTTCCTATTGGTCGAAATAAGTTTACACGGTTTCTAAGAATTGAATGATTTTCATTTGAACGTGTCTCTCTCTCTCTCCCTCTCTCTCTCTCTCTCTCTCTCTCTATATATATATATATATATATATATATATGGTATCACTTGAGACCAATATGTTTTTATAAGACCCGTGAAACCACTTTTCTACACTTGAAATTTTACAACAGAACAGTTTGAAGATACATCTTTTTGTTGTGAAGTTTCAAGTGTACAAAAGTGATCTCACGAATCTCACAAAAACAGACTGGTCTTAGGTAAACTTAACCCTATATATATATATATATATATATATATAATATATATATATATACACACACACACACTTGGAATCATGTGAGATC